AGGAATAACCAGTAGTCACCCCCTGAGCATACTTGTGGGAGATACACCATTAATTCCTTAATAAGTGAACATTGCCTTAGGTTTAAAAATAAAATGCAATCAAGCAAATTTTTATTCATCCTAATTAAGCTAAGGGCAAATTAAGGTTTTTTCTAGCTTAAAGTGTCGAATTATGAAAGTTAAAGAACCTAAAGGCACAAACCTAGAAGTGTAGGTACTAATATTAACCCTATTTGATTTTTAAACCAATTATTGAATCGAATAACCGAGATGGTCCCTCGAGCATTTACGCGAGGGCCGACTTGATTTATTCCCTAAATTAAGAGGACTATATTGAAATCTAGTTAAAAATGGAGGCTCTATTTAACCTATTTGATTATGTCAGTCTTAAAGGTCTAATTGAAGTTCGGGGACTAAATGGTCAAAGATCTAAAGTATCGAGTTCTAAGAGACTAGAAGTTTAGGACCTAAGTCAATAACTCCTAAAGTTTACGGACTAATTAACAAATTGAAATCCTAAGAATTATCTAAATTAACCTATATAAAAAGGGAGATTAAATTAAAAGAGTTTTAGAAAAATTAGTTGATGATTAACAAATTTTAAAAGTCAAGCAATCGACTCGAGTAATCAGGTATCTTATGCGAAAAGTCGACTCAAATTGCTCCATAATTAAAAACTAGGGACCGTCCTAATTTCTAGGTCCGATTTGATTTATTAACCTAAAAACAAAATCTAAAAAAATCTAATTAACCAAAAACTAAGAAATACTAGCTATAATAAACACGATTGATCATGTTAAATAAACGAGCACACATCAAAGAAATAAAAAAACGAGAATTAAATCACATAATTATAAAATTACAAGGATTAAAGGAAATAAATTGAACGTATCAAGGTCTAAATTAAAACAAATCAAAATTAAAAGACTAAATCTAAATAAAATAAAAAATATTTAGGGATTAAAATACAAAAACACCTGAAAACTAAAGGGACCAAAAGATAATTATACATTTTATTTAAGCCCAAAATAACATGTTTAACTAAAAAAGGAAACATTAAAAAATTAGTCCACACAAATTCAAATAAAATTAAAAGGTCACTACACATGACCAAAGTGTAAAAACATGCATAACTTATAGGGAATAAATAATAAATTTACCAAAAAATATATAACATGCTAAGAAAAGGGAAAATTACAATTGTAAACCCTACAGGTGACTATAATGCAAAAACAAGCTAAAGTTATGGGAATTAAAACGCGAATAACCCAAAAAAGGCACGCAAGGAAAAGGTAAAATATCAAATTTGGTCTCTACAAGTGACCAAAATTCAAAAAGCTAAAATAGTAGGGACTAAAGTGTGATTTTACTCTTAATTTGTTCTATAAATATCACTTTTTTTTCATTTGAACCGAAATCAGGAAAAAACCATAGAATGCTCTCCTTTTTTCTTGGCCGACCCATTGTCGGCCGACCCTGAACCCCCTCCAGCAGTCGCACACGGCGATTGGAAAACCCAAAAAGGCCCAAAAAACATTGAAAAACAACCCTAGACTACCCAAAAACCACCTAAACTCTTCGGCTTCCCAAACTCCGGCGACGCCTTCGATGACCAAGGTAATACTCTGATCTATTCCTTTTATTATCTTTTTTTTATTTTACTGTATGAAAACCTATTTTGTTGATTCGGCTAAAAACTCTGTCTTATTGTTGTTCGAAATGTTGTTGATGTTTTTGAATGAAACTAAAAGTTAGGGTTTTATTTCAAAAACTAAAAGGCTTTCCTTTTTACTGAGATTCAAGAACAATAGCAGTGAAATACAACAAGTTATTCGAAATTACAAAAGAAAAAAAACTAATAACCTTAAATACGTTGTTTATTGCTTGAAAAAACCAAGTTACAGTATTTTTCAGAATCTCCAGAGAGATTTTTCTGGTTTTTTGCATGGGTCTTTATACCCATTACAAAGCAATTACAAAATGATTCCTATTTTGTTTCTTCTCTGTTATTTTTGTAGGGGTCGCATGAAGCTTGGCGTGCATGGGTGGCTCTCATTCGATTGGGGTAGAGAATGTCAACAGTTGATAATGGTTTAAGGGCGGCTGCTAGGGTTAGGTTTAGGTTAGGGTTGGGCTAGGTTTTAGGCCCCGGGTCGGATATTGGTTGGGTTTTAGGTCGAGTTCTAGGTTGGGGCATGTTTGGGTCTTATTTTGGGGTTGGTTTGGGTTAGGCTTGAGGCCCGTTTGTAAATGGGTTTGGGTATTGGTTTTTTGGTTTGTAAATAATAATAATAATAATATAGGGGTAGATTTGAAAAATGGTGATTACAGTGAACAGTAAAAAACCATCAAATCAAACTGAACCAAACCAAAACCCATGATTTTATGCCATTTAATTTTGATTTCAATTTTTAAAAACCAGCAAAGTATGGTTCAATTCATATTTTATTGAAAATCAAATCGAACTGAATACACCCTTAACTACACCTATCCAAACTTAAATACCAAGATAAAAGAGGTTTCATTCTCTTTTTTCTTTCATTTTCTCTTGAACATATTTTATTCAAACTTCATTGAATATCATTTGTATCGTTTTTTTTAGTTTCATCTTTATAAACAATCACCTAGAGAGAGATCATTGTTTATACAAATCAAATCTTGAAAAAAAAAAGAGTGATTCTAGTTTAGCTTAGAAAAATTAGAATGATTCTATCTTAGCCATAGTAAAATATAGAGTTGTAAATGTTAAATCTTATCCTTGAAACGTTCGATTCAAATTAAGTGAATTAGAAAATCCTTAGCGGTGATAAGATGATATAGTGGATATAGATTTTGATTGAGAAAGTCAAACCACTCTAAATCAATTGTGATAAAAAATTTATTTTTTTCATCAGGCTTTCATCAAATCTTCTAAAAACCAATTCACCCCTCTTGGCAGTTTTCAATTGACCGTTTAAGATAACAATTAGTATTCGATGATTTAATAACCTTGAGAAAGGTCTTGAAGAGCTCTAACATGATCAACATCAACCTTAAAGATAACTTCCACTTTCGACTCATACTATGTCGAAGGCTCCCAACATAGTGGATAGATTGATATGTTCTTTCTTAATTTTTTTCTCTATCATTCTTTTCTCTTCTATCTTATATTATTCATCATCTTCATTCTTTATAAAATAATCGATTATAATTCTCCAATCCAAATAAAAAAGAATAAACGACCTATAATTGTTACAACCCACATTTTATCATAAACATAACTCTATCATCACCTATCTAATAGAGTTTTCGGGTAAGATAAGATGGATATTACACAAATATTCTAGTTCTTAACTTGAATATCTCGTGTATCTAATTAATTTTTAAATATATATTTTTATTTAATACTGAAAATATCCATTCAAACTCAAACTTGAGTAAATCAGATTTGGACGCCCTAATGCTCGACTTTAATAGTTCACACACATGATAAAAAAATCATTTTTATTTATTATTAAAAAAATTTCATTTTGAAAGTCGAGATGAGAATTGAACTCATTTTATATAAAAATGAGTTTGCTTAAAGCTAATCGAGTGAAATCGAACAACTAGATTTTTTTATCTCAGATCAAATTACAAACTTTAAAATTAAATTGATTTTATTAGGCAAAATGTAGATCTTTAATTTCAAGTCTAGTACAACTTTAATATTATTTAATATTTTCATATTTTCCTTTTTCTTTATCTTGATTGGTTTACGACGGTATTAGTCCTAGTGTTAATCACCGACTGCCAATATTAGTTTTACTTTGCTTTTATGGTACGTTTTTGCCAACCTTTTGATACGTTCCAGTCTTTTTATAGGTTGTTTCGTCGATCTCAACATTTATTTTTTTCAGGGTTAAATTTGAGATCGTCTTAACGAATCAAAGATAATGTTTATTGTTATTCTGTTGATCTGTCCTGCTTTGGACCATCAGACGAATTTAGATATGCGATTTTTGTTAGGAGATAGATTTTAAATTTTTCCGTGTATGATCCTTATAAGATCTTAAGTGACTAATTTCATGTTAATGATTATAGAAAATCTCTTAATTATATATTTAGTTTATACTTAAATATATTGTCCTTATAATTTTGATTTTTTTAATAAAACTAACTTCTATTTGTATGAAAAAAAAAGGGTCGAGTACAACTTTTTTTTACAGCTCGTCCTTACGTTGCTCAAAATTTTGTAAAGAAAAGCCTATTTTGTGGGTTAAAAGCTTTTGGCCAAAGCTTGAATCCACCGAAACTAGAAATTAACCACTTAGGTATGAGTAATAGTAAATTCATGATATCATTAATAAAAATAAATTTGTTTAGACTATTTGTTAATAAATAACACCATGCAATAATGTATACATTATAATGCGTGGAATATAATTTTTTATTGGTTATTTTAAATCATAATAAGACCGATCAAATGTGGTTATTTATCATAGTTTTCCTCCGTTCTTCATTTTCTCTTAATGGGTAAACTACGCATTAAGTATTTAATCTATCAATTTTGATCTGATTTAATACTTAAACTTTTAATTTTTTTAAATCATACCTAAAGTTAGTTCTTATTTCATTTTTAGTACCCAAACTCAAGCGTTAAAAAATTGAAAGTTTAAACATTAAAACATGTTTAGAATCTAAATCATACTTAAGTTTTGAAGAAAAAAAATTAGATACTAAAACAAATCAAAACTGATAATTTAGATATTAAATGCTTTAAGTTTTTAATGATAGATCATACTAAAATGAAATAAAAACTAAATATTAAATATGATTTAAAAAAAACTAAAAATTTAAGTATTAAAACGAACCAGAATAATAGTCTAAGTACTAAACTTTTCCCTTTCTTAATTTTGTGATTATTTTTACATATTCATCCGAGCACAAAGACAAAAGCCCAATAGAAACTGAAAGAAAAGAAGAGATAAAAGAAAAGGATCTAATATTACTATAAAACATGAGTACAAAGCTAGTAATGGAAAGTTGATTGTTCCTCAAAAGCAAGCATCCAGAAGACAGCAACAGCAAAGAGCAGCCAAACTGCAACCCAACCCATAAAATATAAATCAAACCAAACACGATTTACAAAATAAAATAACGTGATTATAACTAAAATCCAATCTCTCTTGTCATCGGAAATCGTAACGAGCGGTTCCGATTTCATTTTCCCCCCAAAAATAAGCATTACTGAATTGTGCAGAAATCAGACTTTTAGTAGATCTTGACATATACCGTATGTACACAACCATACTCTATATGCATACGAGTAGAACATGGAGAGAGTTCTTACCAGCCTTCTAGGCAACCGGGACTCTGATTTTGCCGAGGCGGTGGCTGAGCGTTTTGAGGAGGATATCCGTGCGGAGGATATCCCTGAGGATATCCGTGCGGAGGATATCCTGGAGGTGGATAAGCATCCTTTGGAGGATATCCTTCCGGTGGATAACCTATATTTCCCAATCACACAGAAAAGATGGGGGGGGGGGAACTAAATCAGATCAACTCAAATAGCGTAAACGAACAAAAAGAAAGTAAGTCGAAATAAAAACTCAGAGGCGGTGTTGACCTTGAGGTGGAGGAACGCCAACAGGAGGCTGTTGCTGATTGTAGTAACTCATCGTTTGCTGATTAATACTTTGACAGAGATTTTTTTTTTTTTTTTTGGTGCTGACGAAAATTCAAGGGGATAGAGAACTGGTTGGACTGGAAAGGCAGTTCAGATAGAGAAAGGATTATATAGTGGAATTTCAAAAAAGGAAAATATTTACTCTCTTTTTGTTTTGGGTAAATTACGTATTTAATACTTATAGTTTTTTTTTTTATTTTAATACTTATAATTTTTTTTCTATTTTATTACTTAAACTTTTAGTTTTTTTAAATCATACTTAATGTTTAGTTTTTGTTTCATTTTAGTATCCCGTTGTTAAAAATTTAACGGATGGGCTAACGTGGCATAGCCCCAGTGTGCGGATGATCAATCTGAACAGTGGGCCATGAGGGAATGACGGGTCAACCAACATAGTCCAGTTTTAGGAATGTCAGACAGTGGATCATGTCAATCGAAGGATGAAGAAATCTAAGAGTCCATCATCGATTTGGGAAGATTGAAGAGTTTTCCGATGAAACAGAGTTTGAATTCGCGTTCAGGGGTCGAAAAATTGCAGTGTGGAAAGTTTTGGCTTCGTCGTTCGATGCATGTTAAGGCCAACGACTGTAGATACGATAGTCGACCAGTGAGTCTATTCGTTAAATTTTTAACGTTGAGGTACTAAAATGAAATAAAAACTATACGTTAAATATAGTTAGAAGAAAATGAAACTTTAGATACTAAAATCATATCAAAATTAATAGTTTAATTATTAAATTTGTAGCAGTTTACCTTTTTTTCCCTGTGTTAAGATGTGGACGCGTATCCTACTCGGTGAAACTTAACGGCTAAGGCTGCGTCTTCTGGGCCACCACTTTAAGTTTTTCAAATCAATTTATACAATTTAGGTCTACTTTAATAACTCGCTTTTATTATTCAAACGTGTTTATAATATAATTATGATTATTAATAATAAAATAGCAACCTTTTAAATAAAAAATACCTTTTCTAGTTTCTTGTATTCAAATATATATTTTAATATATTAATAAAGTAATACCAATTGGAAAAATAATTTAATTAGACAGAGTCATATAGATATTAAAATAGAATTTGTATCCATATTAAATTAAATTTATTGTTTTATATCTATTATCACTTTATTAATATTATATTTAGATATCAATTAAATTAAGATACTTAACACTATAAATAGATTATTAGAATCAAACAACATCATTCATACGAGCACAGTGCATGGAGATTTCAAAAGCAAACATTAGTCTCCAAAGTGAACAAACGGCAAGCGGATGCAGATGGAAACCACCCAACTTCCCGACTGTCAAAGTCAATTTCGACGCTCGATTATGCAAAGGGAAGCATGGTCAGGGATATTAATCAGAGACAGTGAAGGACTAATCCTGGGTGCATGCAGAAGGCAAAGTGAAGGAAATACCTCGGCGTTCATGGCAGAAGCAGTGGCTGTTGTGCATGCTCTCCAATTTGCGTCGGATATGGGGTTCCAAGAGAGCATTTAGATGGGGATTCAAAGATGGTAATCGACAAAATCAACTCTAGGAAAACTGACGATTCTGAAATTAGCGCCTTTACATGGGAAGCAACGCGAAGGAGAGAAGCCTTTAAGGTGCGTTTGGTTCACGGAATGTAAGATTTTCAGTACGAATAAAAGATTACCAGTGGGAATAAAAGATTACCAGGGAATAGGATTACTGAGAATGTTGTATTTTGTGTTTGGTTGGTTTAGCATGAATGTAAGATTACCGTATTTGGTTAAAGGAATAAAAGATTATTGAAATGTATATTTGACAAAATTGTCCTTATTATATATTTATATAATATTACAAATTGTAAAATATTTATATATTTTCTTTAAAAAATTAAATTCATAATATTTATATAATTTTTTTTACAAAAATAAAAATATAAAAAAGGTTTAATGAAATGGTAAAAGAAAATTTAACCCTTGAACTTCATATAATATTTTAATTATAGATTCTTTTTTTTAAATCTAAAATAATTTAAGGATAAATTTGTAATTTAACCTTCGTAGAATTTTTATTATTCAATGACAGAAGAATGATATTTTTGAAAAAAAATAAAAATTTAAGGGCATTTTAGTTCAAAACGCCGGTAATGTTACAATACCTAAAGGAAGGGAGGTAATGACATTCCCGGTAATATACCCTAAAAAATCTACTATTGGTAATAAAACATTACCGGGAATAAGATTCCCGGCCAACCAAACATAGGAATGTAGGATTCTCATCAATCCTTGAATCAAACACCCCCTTAGGGTATGTCAGTTCCAACACACGCTCACCTCATGGCAGAAGGCAAAGATTTGGTCCAAGCAAACAATTACTAGGTTGAAGAAGCACCAAACAGAGTGGAGAACCAAGCCGCAGAGGATAGAAGGTGGATCGACCCCCATAGATTCAAGGATTCACAGTAAACACTCTCTATTTTAACCAACAAATAATTGATTTAGTGAGATGAAATATTAGATTCTTTAAACAATGTCAAATTGGATTGAGAGGGTTACCCTCGCCTCTACACTACCTTATCCGAATTAGTTTATTGATAAATCAGATAGTGGTGGTTATACAAAAAAAAAGTCAACTTTTTATTTTACAAGTGTTGGAATACCCAAAATTTGACTAGTGACTAAAATGCAATTTTTGAAAGTTTAGTGGTCAAAGTAAAAACTTGGAAAAGACCTTGGACTAAAGAGGTAATTTTCCTAAAAAGAAATTTTATTCTATAGATAAATAGTTCATATTTAAGAATAGATTTTTATGGAAATCAAATTTCGATTTGAAATTGGTGTAAAAAGTTATTAAAAGATAAAGTTCAATAAAATATTCAGATAAACGGATCGAATAAAAATTTTACAAAAATTTCAAGGATGGTAGTATGGGGCTAGAAACATTTTATTTATATTTTTAATCAGTAGAACTTAACATGGAACAGTAGAATTAAGTGAATTTTCCATGTTAAAGTTGAATAGTGGAAATTAAGTGATTAAATTAAAATTTTGGAAAAGTGCAAGGGCAAACATGAAAGATCAAGATCTTGATATTTTTGTTATGGATATGATGATGTTAGGGATGATATCATGGAGTGACATGGATGAAATTATAAAGTTTCATTAATGGCAAAATGATAAATTAATTATAAATAAATTTTAAATTCATTTAATTATTATAAATCCATGTGTATCATGATAATGATGAAAAAAATTGGCCTTCTTCGAGCTTTGGCCGTGAACTCCATTGTAGGTAAGGGATAGTTTTTCAATTTGATTTTAAAGCTTTCACGGTTGATTTTTGGAATAAGCTATTAGATAGAGAATTAATCTACTTGAAATTCTCTATCATTTGGTATAATTTATTTCATGAAAATCATGTTCGGATGATGAATTTTATGATTTAGTTAGATGAAGAAGAAGTTTGATTTCGATGATTTAAAGCTTGATTTTTATGTTATTAAAGTTGTAGATTAATCTTCAAGCTTATGTGACGAGTAAAATTAATTGAATTTGCGTATATAAGTTTAAGCCAAGCTAGGATTCATGGAGATCGGTTGAAATTTGATTGAATTTGGTATTGGGATGATTGGAATTGCATGAATTTAATCATAGGAGCTTGAGTTCATGCTTGAAATTGAATGGAAAGTATACCCTAAATTCTTAATTGGGTTCGGCCATGGAAAAGTTATTAGGGGAAAAATTTTCAAAAAATTTCTATAGTCTATAATTGATATTAGATGAGTTCTACATGCTTTGGAAGTTGGTTTAGATCAATTTGGAACCTTGAGATAATAAAAGGACTATTTTGCAAGTTTTAGGAATTATGAGAAATTGAAGTGAAAATTTTCAATTATGAGTATTCAATGTTGAAATTTAATATTTGGGCTTAAGTTAAAATGTTGATTTAGGATCAAATTGAAAATTTGGTAAAGTGTGATGGTTGAATTCGAATGGATTAGAAAATAAGAGATTGAATTGCAATTATGCAAATATGAAGGTATGTTTTCTTCTTCTTCATTTTAGTCATTTCTCCTTGATTATTGGATTAAGTTATGAAATAGAAAAATGATTCATATCAAAATTTCTATCATTTGATGATAATATTTCATTGTTTCTATGCTTGAATCAAGTTGAAAAATTAAGCTTGATATATTTTATTTAATTCGACCTAAAGGAACAAGGCAAAGAGAAATGGTAGAAAGATTTTACAATGACTAGAAATGATGTATGAGTGATTCTACATGCTTAGAATATGATTTGAACTAATTTGGAAAATTTTGAAAGTATAGGGACTTAATTGTGTAGTTATTTAAAATCTTTAAGTACTATACTGGAATCGAATATTAAAATAATGATTTAATGTTGGAATGTTGATTTTGGGTTAGTTTGTAAGTTTGTTAAGGTTTGGTGATCAAAGTATAAATTGTATAAATGGTGAGTTTCAAAGTTATTGAATAAATATGAGCAGTAAATAGTAGAATGGTGATTTTGAAGTTGAAATATTAAATTGGAATTGATTGGGAAATATGTATAAATTCAATAACTAAATTGTAAATATGGGGGAGCTTATGGGTTAAAATAGAAATTGTATATAAAATAATATGTAAAGTATAAGTAAATTATAATAATAAATGATTATTAGAAGGGCTTGGAAGAATAAATTGTAATTTGGTAAAAGTTGTTAAGAATCTTTTTACATTTCATAAGAATTTAAGGATTAATATGAAAAAGTTAAAAAGTTAGTGTGATATGCAGAAAATTTATAGATAAATGATGAAATATTGAAATTGGATTAATATGAGAAGTTGTATAAGTTAGAAGTTCAATTCATAAGTTTTAGAAAAGTTGGTGGTAAAATGGTAATATAGAAAGTTGAACTTACCTATATCACGAAAGCCAAGGCTCCCCGATTCTTTTAAATTACATAGCGAGTCTCTTGTACACTAATGAATACCTCATTTCCTCTTTGACTTCTGCCACCAGAATCTTGCCATGATACCTTTTAACTCAGCGCACAGACTCTTTGGAAGTGAAAAGCAAGACATTGCAAATAGAGGG